ACAGGAAAAGCCCCGGGAAAATTTGAATTGGAATTCCTTTTCCTGTCTGGACAGTTCGAATCTCATACAGCCCAAAATGCTGCCGGCCATCTTCGCAACAAGAGCACACTGTTGACTCATATCCAGCTTCTCGTCCACTGTGACCCCTAGGTCTTTTCTGCAGAACTGCTACCTAGCCATTCGGTCCCTAGTCTGTAGCAGTGCATGGGATTCTTCCGTCCTAAGTGCAGGACTCTGCACTTGTCCTTGTTGAACCTCATCAGGTTTTTTTCGGCCCAATCTTCTAATTTGTCTAGGTCCCTCTGTATCCGATCCCTACCCTCTAGTGGATCTACCACGCCTCCTAGTTTAGTGTCATCTGCAAACTTGCTGAGAGTGCAGTCCACACCATCCTCCAGATATGACGGAGAGGAGAATAAAACCTCATTTACATAGATTTTGGCAGCATGATGGTAAATTCTAGCGTATTCAGAACTTCCATTTGTTTAAGTATGGACAGGTGGATTCCCCTTTTTAATTTGATGTCAGTGAGCCTCCAACAGTGTAATTGTTATGATTATTTATCCCTCGTATTATGGTAGTGCATAGGGTCCGCAGTCATAGATCAGCGACCCATTCTGCCAGTTGCTGCACAAACACATAAAGACACAGTCTCCGCCCTGAAGAATTTCCAATCCATATGACAAGCGACAACAGGTGGATGCAATGAACAGATTGTTTCCTGGTGCTCCTCCCCAGAGAATCCCAGTTAACATAATAAGGAACAGTCAGAGAGTCTCCACATGAGAGCCTGAAGGCACAAGATATGCCAAAGCTTTTAGCTTCTATGCATAATGGGTCTGATCTTGCTCCCATTGAAGTCAGCAGGCTACATCTATCACTCATTATAGACAAATTCTAATAGATAGACTTCCACCATGAGCATGTGGCACCAAAACGGAGTTACAGCATTCAGTGCTGCTCACTTCTTCTCAACAAACAAACAAACAAAAACCAGAAGGCAGCAGCAACATGTGACGCGCCAGTGGATATATTCCTCTTTATGTTTTACCAGCAAGTGAGCATATTCACAGTATGGGAATGATGATCTGCCATTTCTCTATCCAAAACTGTCGCTGCAAGTTTAGGTACAAATCTCAAATGATTGCTCATCCCGCTACATGAAAGCAGGTGGCAGTTGTTTGTCACTCATGGGAAAAAACAAGCAAGCAAGTTTAAGAGAAATATACAAACACTGTTAGTCTTTGAGGGCCTCTGTGCATTCTCACGGGATGGAATTCACACACACACTGTAACACGGTTCAATCACCACTCTGGTGCCACCTGCTGGCTGTCATGGGAATTAGCGCTGCATGTTAGTGCGTCCTCTTTGAGTAGTGCCTCGCCACCGTCACTTCTGCTCTAG